GTGGTTTTTACACCAAATAAGTTTCAAGCTTACCGCTATAGACCACTCAGCCAATTCTCTTTAAAAATTGATTCCTCGATGACTTGAACATCGAACATACTCTTATCAAAAGTACACTTTACCTATTAAGTTAAGGAACCTATGACATCAAGAGCACTCAGACTCGAACTGAGAATTTGAAGTCTGAAGCTTCCTATTTTACCAATTAAACTATACTCTTATATATTATATCACAGTTTATACTTCATATTAGGGTTTGTACAAATCTATAACTCTACGGAAAAGAGATGATTTGAACATCCAGGTGTTGAAACACAATATTTAGCAAATATCTTGCCTTACCTATGGCGACTTTTCCTATAAGGTTTATAATAAACTATACAGATTACGAGCTATGTCGGCCATGATCCGACATCCTTCCTCGACAAGGAAGTCCTTTGCCAATTAAGTTAATAGCTCTAATTATCTATATTTATGTTAACATATACGGCCAACCGAATTCGAATCGGTACATATCGTTTGGAAGACGAATGGTCTACCGTTAACCTATAGCCGTTTAGACGTAGTTTTTTATTTTTTGTGTAAAATAGTTATACATTGAATTACTAAAAAATATACAAAAGCTTTCTATTCAATCTAATTTATATTACTTTCGTGCAATATATTAACGAAGACACAGAATAATGTAATCCATCTAAAATAGGAGCTGGGTATACTCCAAATATAACAGTAAATACAACTAAAACTAATAATATGTAGAATTCTCGTTTACTTAAATCAGGTATGTTAAATTTAAAGAATTTAGAGAATGATCCCGCAAATGCTATTCTATTAAACATATACATTGTATACGCTGCACTAAACACAATAGAAGAACTGGCAAATACACCTAATAGTGGTAATCTCTCAAAAGTACCATATAAACACATAAATTCTCCAATAAAATTAAGAGATAAAGGTGTTCCTGCATTACCTAAGCAAAGTATAAAGAATAATATAGAAAATAGAGGCATTACTTGCGTTATACCTCTGTAAAAAGTAATCAGTCTAGTAGAAGATCTATCATAAAGAACCCCTCCTGCGCATATAAACAAACCAGAAGACACAAAACCATGTGCTAAACCTAAAACAATTCCACCTTCAATACCCTGTATAGAATTACTAAATACTCCTAACAAATATACTGCTGCATGTGACACAGAACTGTAAGCTATTAGTTCTTTAACATCTATTGTTCTTAATGTACTAAAACTAGCATATATAATAGTAATAACCCCTATAACGTACACCATAGGAGTAAAAAACATATACGCTTGTGGGAGAAGTGGTAATATTAATCTTAGTATACCGTATAAACTTAATTTTAACACTATTCCTGCTAATATAATACTTCCACCTAATGGAGATTCAACATGAGCTTTAAGTAATCAAGTGTTTAGGAATATTGTGGGAGTTTTAACCGCAAAAGCTATAAATATCCCGCAAAATAAGAATATCTGAGTAGAAAAGTTAAAGTTTGTTTTATATAAGGCATCAAAATCAGTAGTTCCCATTATTGAAGACATTGTTAAAATTGATAACAACAAAAATAAAGAACCTAATAATGTATATAAAAATAGATAAAAACTAGCTCTAACTCTATTACTTGAACCAAATATTCCTATTAACAAAAATAGAGGAGGTAATATGCTTTCGAAGAATATATAAAATAATAATATATCTAAAACGAGAAACACAGCAAGTAAAAGAGTTTCTAAGAGTAGTATTATTACTAAATAAGATTTAACATTTTCTGATATGGAGCTTCAATTTGACAGTAAAGATATAGGCATTATTATAGTTGTTAATAGAACAAAGTAGATTGATATACCATCTACTCCTAGATAAAAATCAAAGCTATTTATTTTGTGATATTCTTGTACAAATTGAAACTGGTTTGTACTAAAATTAAACAAGATAAATACAATTAAAGAGATGAGTAGGTTAAAAGTCGATGTTGTTAGTGCGATAATTTTATTTTGTTTTATGGCTAAAGCAGATCTATCCGGCATAGCAGATATCATAAATATACCTATTAAAGGTATTAACAGTAACGACATAAGTAACATGTTAAGTATGATAAAAATTTAATGAACATTCCTCTTAATTTATTCAAATTCTTAAAGATTAAAAGTGTATTTTAAACTACGTGTGCGCGTGTCTTATATTTTTCACAATAACTACGTACTTTAATCTTAACAATTTTTTTTAATAAAGTTTATATACCATAAACAGGCATAAAATATAAACTTATAATATTATTATAATAACTATAAGTACAGCGAAAAAAGTAATATAAAAACAATTTTTTCTAGTTGTGTTTATTTGTTTGTTTTTATTGTTAGCCCTAGCAGACTATATACTACTGATAACAATAGATTGTTGTCAATAGCGTAGAAATAAGGTACCAAGATGTAGAACATTAGTCCAACTAGTATAAATAATGCATATGAAGTAATAACCCCTGTGTCTAGCTTAGATATACTTTTACTTAATCCAATTAATCCTTTTTCTAACCCAAAGGGACCAATCAACTCGATAGAACCTTTGTCGATCACTTTGGTTGTTTGTCCTCCTAGTTTCAAAATAGTGTCTGTTACGTATCTGTTATAGAAAAGTTCTATTAGGAAACGTTGATTAAAAAACCCATAAATATTGTATCCTATTCTAGAAAGTTTAAAATGAACTAATGCTTTAGGTACGAATTCAAATAAGTAGATAGCAATTAAACTCAATGAAATAGTGAATATTAAAGGAAGAACTTTGAACAATGTAGGTACCGCAAACTCAGTATCCAACATTATTTCATGTATAGGATGTATAAATAAACTATTATCTGAAAAGAAACTAGATCCTAATCCTATAAATATGTCTTTAGTTAAATAACCAAAGAAGATAGAAAATATTGCTAATATCATAAGAGGTATACTCATAAATATGTCTCCTTCATGAGCATTTTTGTAATCTATCAGAGGACCATTGGGATTGCTTAAGAATGTTAAATAAAGAACTTTAACAGAATACAAAGTAGTAAACATTGCACCTATTGTAGAAATTCAGTATACAACTACACTAGAAAAGTAAAATTGTCCGTATGCAGATTCTAATATGAAATCTTTAGAGTAAAATCCTGTCATAAAAGGGAATGCTACTAGACTTAGTGAAGCAATTAACATAACTGAGTAAGTTAAAGGTAAAAAAGTTCTTAATCCACCATATTTTCTAAAATCTTGATTATCCGGATACTGCATGAATAACAGCCCCCGCACCTAAGAATAATAATCCTTTATAGAATGCATGGTTTACTAAATGAAATAATGCAATATTATATGAAGATAAACCTATTGCTATTACCATCATTCCCAATTGACTCATAGTAGAATAGGCTATCACTTTTTTAATATCTTGTTGAAATAAACCTATAAGGGAACTAAATACAGTTGTTATAGCTCCAATTCAAAGACATAGTAATAGTACTGTATTGCTGTATTCTATTGAAGGAGAACTACGCATTAGTAAGTAAACACCTGCAGTAACCATAGTTGCTGCGTGAATTAGCGCAGATACCGGTGTAGGTCCTTCCATTGCCATAGGAAGTCAAACATGCAATCCTATTTGTGAACTTTTAGCCATCGCACCTATAAGTAAACATACTCCTATAATTAAAATAAGATCAGTACTTATGAAAGGGGCTATAGAAAACACAGTAGAGTAATCTATGTTACCAAAAGATCACAAGATAGCAAACATACCTATAGTTAAAAAACAATCTCCAACTCTATTAGTTAAAAAAGCAGAAATAGAACTTTGATTTGCTGCTATTCTTGTAAATCAAAAACTCACAAGTAAATAAGAACATACACCTACTCCTTCTCATCCTACGAACATTAACAAATAATTATCCGATGTTACAAGAATAATCATCATAAATGTAAATAAGCTTAAGTAGCTAAAAAATCTTTGGTTATGGGGATCGTGGCTCATATATCCTATTGAATATATATGCACTAATGAAGAAACTATCAATACAGGTATTAACATAGATACTGTTAAAGAATCAAAGTTAAATCACAAGACATTAAGTGATTCTGAGTCTACTCATCTGAAAAGCTGTAAAGATACTGAAATATTGTTTAAACCTACTTCAATAAATGCCAATGTAGAAAGGAAAGTAGTTATTATTACAGATGAGCATGTTACTCATTGGCTACCTGTAACACCTACTTTTCTACCAAAAAAACCAGAAACAATTGAACCTAATAATGGTAATGTTATTATAGCTAAATACATTATTTAAACTCGATGGCTACACTTCCTCTTAATCTATAAAATGCTACTAATATACCTAGTCCAATTGCAGATTCTGCACCTGCAATAGCTATGATATATATCGCATATACTTGACCTAAAATGTCATCAAAATTTAGTGAACTAATTAAAATTAAAAATGTAATTGATAATAGCATTATTTCAATTGAAATAAGCATTAGAATAATGTTTTTTCTGTTTAATACAAAACCCAATATTCCTATTAAAAATAATATTAAAGATAAATTCATTTGTTTAATATTTCATATATAAATGGTATGTATTATTATATATATATACTAATATAAAAAGCATTTTATGCAAAAGTATAAACATACTCTTATAACTAAAATTAGATCACTACTTATTAAAGGGGGGAACAAAAAAGACAGTAAAATAGTCTATCTTACCAAATTATCATAAAATAGCAAGCATACCTATAGTTAAAAAACAATCTCCAACTCTGTTTGTTAAAAAAGCAGAGATATAACTTTGATGTTCCGCTATTATTGTAAATCAAAAACTTACAAGTAAATAAGAACATTTACATATTTATCTTGTATATTTGTGTATTAGTTAAATACTAAGAGGTTCAATACCCGGTAAATCCTCTGGAATTTCTAAGCCAGCTGCAACAGCTACTGCAACAAGGGATAAATAAAGAGCAATTATTGCGAATCTAAGAGAAGAGCCTCTATTGGTGAAAAAGTTTTCCAGATTTTGATTTAAGGTTTCCTCCGTAGAAGAAGCTACAATCGGTTTCAT